GCCACGAAACGTGTGAGGGGTGTGCCAGAATGGGGGGTGGAACCGCATGCGGGCGCAGCCACTGGGGCCTTCGGTGGAGCTCCCTATGGGGCCACGAAACGTGTGAGGGGTGTGCCAGAATGGGGGGTGGAACCGCATGCGGGCGCAGCCACTGGGGCCTTCGGTGGAGCTCCCTATGGGGCCACGAAACGTGTGAGGGGTGTGCCAGAATGGGGGGTGGGGGGGGAACCGCATGCGGGCGCAGCCACTGGGGCCTTCGGTGGAGCTCCCTATGGGGCCACGAAACGTGTGAGGGGTGTGCCAGAATGGGGGGTGGAACCGCATGCGGGCGCAGCCACTGGGGCCTTCGGTGGAGCTCCCTATGGGGCCACGAAACGTGTGAGGGGTGTGCCAGAATGCCGCATGCGGGCGCAGCCACTGGGGTGGAGGGTGTGAGAATGGTGTGCGGGCGCAAGCTCCCTGTGCGGTGGCTGCCCTGGGGCCTTCGGTGGAGCTCCCTATGGGGCCACGAAACGTGTGAGGGGTGTGCTGGGGCCTTCGGTGGAGCTCCCTATGGGGCCACGAAACGTGGAAGGGGTGTGCGGGCGCAGCCACTGGGGCCTTCGGTGGAGCTCCCTATGGGGCCACGAAACGTGTGAGGGGTGTGCCAGAATGGGGGGTGGAACCGCATGCGGGCGCAGCCACTGGGGCCTTCGGTGGAGCTCCCTATGGGGCCACGAAACGTGTGAGGGGTGTGCCAAAATGGGGGGTGGAACCGCATGCGGGCGCAGCCGCTGGGGCCTTCGGTGGAGCTCCCTATGGGGCCACGAAACGTGCGAGGGGTGTGCCAGAATCGGGGGTGGAACCGCATGCGGGCGCAGCCACTGGGGCCTTCGGTGGAGCTCCCTATGGGGCCACGAAACGTGCGAGGGGCGTGCCAGAATGGGCGCGGGAGGGGGGGGAGGGGGGAGGAAGGGGAGGAGGAGGAATGGGGAGGAGGAACGCGGGGCGACGTCTCTTCAAAACGAAGACCCAACACCACAGGATGGCTGGGAAAAAATGAAAACCTTGCTCCGGAAAATCTTGGGGAGACAAAGTTACGCGGAGGGGTGCCAGCCATGATTTGGAACGACCAGAGATGCAGCATTGGCACCAACGCTGCAGCGGAAGCAGCAGTCCGAAGGACCGAGAACATTCGGATTGCCAGCAACAGATATAACAACCCAGCTCTAAACGCAATTCGGATGGATTCGGGCCAAGCGGAAGCCCGAACATGAGGCCAGCGCTGCAGCGGGGGCCGAATTTTGAAAGAACCGAACACGTTCGGATTGAAAGCGCATAAAAACACAAACTCCGGGATTTTTGTTTGAATTTGAATCTTGCGCGTGAAAAAACACGGCGCGAGGCGGAGGGCCCGATGCTTTGCGCGCGCCCCCGGGGGAGAGAGGGAGAGAGGAGAGTAGCATTCATATTGTGTATTTGTGTGTGGGTGGGGATTTCGAAAAATAATCCTGGCGAAGGGCCCAACCATACGCATTTCCGAATGCCGCCGTTGTAAGTATCGTCGTTGGTGGAACACCCGATGGGGCCACGAAGCGTGTGAGAGGTGCGCCAAATGGAGGTGGAACTGCATGCGGACCCTGCCACTGGGGCCTTCGGTGGAGCACCCTGTGGGGCGCGAAACGTGTGAGGGGTGCGCCGAAATGGAGGTGGAACTGCATGCGGACCCTGCCATTGGCGCCCTCGGTGGAGCTCCCTATGGGGCCGCGAAACGTGTGAGGGGTGCGCCGAAATGGAGGTGGAACTGCATGCGGACCCTGCCACTTGGGCCTTAGGCGGAGCTCTCTATGGGGCCACGAAACGTGTGAGGGGTGTGCCGAAATGGAGGTGGAACTGCATGCGGACCGTGCCACTTGGGCCTTAGGCGGGGCTCCCTATGACGCCACGAAACGTGTGAGGGGTGCGCCGAAATGGAAGTGGAACTGCATGCGGACCCTGCCACTTAGGCCTTAGGCGGAGCTCCCTATGGGGCCACGAAACGTGTGAGGGGTGCGCCGAAATGGAGGTGGAACTGCATGCGGACCCTGCCATTGGCGCCCTCGGTGGAGCTCCCTATGGGGCCACGAAACGTGTGAGGGGTGCGCCGAAATGGAGGTGGAACCGCATGCGGACCCTGACACTTGGGCCTTCGGTGGAGCTCCCTATGGGGCCACGAAACGTGTGAGGGGTGCGCCGAAATGGAGGTGGAACGCATGCGGACCCTGACACTTGGGCCTTCGGTGGAGCTCCCTATGGGGCCACGAAACGTGTGAGGGGTGCGCCGAAATGGAGGTGGAACGCATGCGGACCCTGACACTTGGGCCTTCGGTGGAGCTCCCTATGGGGCCACGAAACGTGTGAGGGGTGCGCCGAAATGGAGGTGGAACCGCATGCGGACCCTGACACTGGGGCCTTCGGTGGAGCTCCCTATGGGGCCACGAAACGTGTGAGGGGTGCGCCGAAATGGAGGTGGAACCGCATGCGGACCCTGACACTTGGGCCTTCGGTGGAGCTCCCTATGGGGCCACGAAACGTGTGAGGGGTGCGCCGAAATGGAGGTGGAACCGCATGCGGACCCTGACACTTGGGCCTTCGGTGGAGCTCCCTATGGGGCCACGAAACGTGTGAGGGGTGCGACGAAATGGAGGTGGAACCGCATGCGGACCCTGACACTTGGGCCTTCGGTGGAGCTCCCTATGGGGCCACGAAACGTGTGAGGGGTGCGCCGAAATGGAGGTGGAACCGCATGCGGACCCTGACACTTGGGCCTTCGGTGGAGCTCCCTATGGGGCCACGGAACGTGTGAGGGGTGCGCCGAAATGGAGGTGGAACCGCATGCGGACCTTGCCACTGGGGCCTTCGGTGGAGCTCACTATGGGTCCACGAAACGTGTGGCCATGATGGAGACGGCGATGATGGGTGATAAGAACGATGATGATGATGATGCTGATGATGACGGTGACGATGACGATGATGATGATGCTGATGATGAGAGGAGGAGGAGGAGGAGGAGGAGGAGGAGGAGGAGGAGGGGGAGGAGGAGGAGAGGAGGAGAGACGCGGGGCACCGTCTCTTCAAAACGAGGACCCAACACCACAGGATGGTTGGGAAAAAGGAGGAGGGGGGGGGTGAATGGTGATTTTACCTTCCCCCGACCCACAACGCATAAAAGTGCGAGCGCGCCCGTTTCGTGGGAAGCGAAAGGAAATGTCAGATAACGATCAATGCTGGGCAACTTTGCAACCTCTTGCAACAATTGTCGATCGCATTCCTTGCGCTTTAATATACTTTTGGACACTTCTGCGAACTTTTCCGGGCAATTTTGGAACTTTTGGGTACTTATGGGCACTTTTGCAACGCTTTCTATAAAAGTGCCCAAAGATGCCAAAAAGTGCCGGGCAAGTTTGCAAAATGTCCACGAGTGTTTGAGAACGCTTGGAAAAGTGGCCCAAATTGCTGGGAAAGTTTGCAAGAGTGCCCAACAGTGCCCGGAAAAAATTGCAGAAGTGCCCCAAAAAGTGCTTGAAAGTGGTTGGGGGGGGGAATGTTCGCATATTGCTGAGAAACATTGCAGAAGTGCCCAATAATGCCCAAACGTGCCCAGAAAAGTTTGCAAAAGTGCCCAAAGTTGTTTGGAAATAGTTGCGCAGTGTTGAGGCAGCTTGCGAATGTGCTCAAAAGTGTTTGAATGTGCTTGGTGGTAAGTAAGAGTTCGCAAATTGCAGGGAAACGTTGCAAAAGTGCCCAAAGTGCCCAACAGTGCCTCGAGCAATTTGCAAAATTGTCCAAAAGTGCCCGGAAAAGTTTGCAAAAGTGGCCAAAAATATCCAAAAGTGCCCAAAAGTGCCCAGCAGCGCCTGGGATGTGATAGGACAAATGCTTGCCACATGACAAAGAATGCATGGAAAGCTAAAGAGAATGCCCGGGAACGATCAGTTTTGGCAGTTCTGCAACCCTTTGCAACAAGTGTCAATCACATCCCAGGCGTTGTTGGGCACTTTGGACACTTTTGGAAAGTTTTGGGCGCTTTTGCAAATTTTTCCGGGCACATTTGGGCAATTCTGCAGACTTGTCCAAGCACTTTTGGGCATTTTTGTAACGTTTCCAAGCAATTTGCGAATATTTCCCACCGAGCATTTTCAAGCACTTTTGAGCGCATTCGCAAATTGTTCCACTCATGCGCAAGCATTACCGAACCACTTTGGGCACTTTTTGCAAATTTGTCGGGGCCCTTTTGGGCACTTTTGGGCACTTTTGCAACGCGCGCCAGCAATTTGCTAACATTTCCCACCAAGCACTTTCAAACACTTTTTGATCGCATTCGCACGCTGCCTCAACAACGCGCAATCATTTCCGAACAATTTTGGGCACTTTGCAAGAATTCAAAGCAATTTGGGCCCCTTTTCCAGGCATTCTCAAACACTCTTGGACACTTTTGCAAACTGTTTTTCTGGCACCTTTTGGCACTCTTCGCAACATGTCCTAGCAATTTGCGAACGTTTCCCAGGCGTTTTCAAACATGTCTACGATGTTTGTAAACTTGTCCTGGCACTTGTGGACGCTGCGCGCTTTTGTAACATGGCCCAGCAATTTGCGAGCACTTTCCAAGCTTTTCAAACACTGTTGGGCACTTTTGCAAACTGTTCTGTGTATGTTCTGACTTTTGGGCCTTTTTGGGCACTCCTGCAAACATGTCGGGTTATTTGTTTGAATTTCTCGGCAACGTGTTGACTTGTTTCTGGGCGCTTATGGGCACTTTTGGGCACTTTCGCAAAATCCCTGAACAATTTGGGAAGCCAGCGTTGCAGAGATCTGGACAGAGGCATTGGCATTGCGTCCACATCCAGTCGCTCGTCGTGTTGGTTCAGATGTTGAACGATCGCCAGCATTGCTCCCATGCGCTGCCACGCCGCTGCACAATTCTCGCGCGCAGGCAAAGCAGCGCCAGGCGGCGCAGGTCTGCACAGAGGCGTGTCGCTCAGGCCTGCCATCGAGCGCGTCAGCAGCGCCGCGGGCAGCGCCTTCTCCTCGCTGGCGTCAAGCCCGAGACCGACGATGCCGCGCGCAAGCCTGGCAAGGCCCACGAGGTGCTCGCCGTCGTCGAGCGCGAAGCCTCTCTGCAGCAGCATGGGGTTGCATGCCATCAGCATGCTGATCTGCTCGCTGGCGTGGCGCGCTCTGCCTTCACTGGCGACGGCTGGCTGGCCGATGCCGACGCAGGCGTCAAATGCATTATGGCATCGTCGCAGGCCTGCTGCAGGGCACTCGCCATGCCAATGCAGAGCTCTTCGCCTGCGGCATCGGATGGCGCTATGCTGTCAAGGGCGGGACAGTCGGGGCGCGCCAAAACGCGCCGAGCGGCCTCGTCAGGACGCCTTGGCAGCCATCTCGCAAGCACAGGCATAGCCTTGCAGTGCCTGCACGCGGCCGTGACGCTGAGACCTCGCGCGATCAAGCTGGCGAGCGCCAGAGGCACTCAGCCGCCCGCCGCAGAAGACTGCCCCTCATGCAAGGCGAACGGCTCGGGCAAATGCCTGCGCGTCGAGCGGAGCGAAGAGGTCGCATCGTTGCTTCCGCCTCCCTGGTCATGCACGAGGCAGAGGCTGCGCAATCGGCTCATGGCCTGGCACGATGACGATCATCCGCAGCTGCGCATCGCTGGCACAGCAGGCGACAATGCTGGCAACGCAACGAAGGAGCAGGACAGCCCATCGGCGATTGGCCAGGCAATCAACCTTCTCGCTGCAGCAATGGCAAGCAGCGACAAGCATGGCAGCTACGGCCAGGCCATCGTCAATGATATGTTCGCACTGAGGAGCGCCGCAAGCATCTCCCGCAAGCGGCTCCTCAACGCTGTGGCCTATCGCGACGACATAGTGCCCATCGGCAGAGTGCTCCTCGGTCACTCGGAATTCATCCATCGCCAGGGCACCGTGACCAGGAAGCTGGTGAGATCGGCCATCGGGGTCGTCAGCGTCTCTGCCTCAGCTTCGGCAGTTCGAGGCAGGAGGCCGCTCCAAGTGCCATTCGAGGCGAAGCACAGCGCATCCATCCTTGACCAGGCTTGCATGACCGATGGCTTGATAGCCGCCAGGCATCCAGGCATTCACCACAGCAGCGTGCAAGCAATCAGCGACGCGAGCTGGTGGGCGTTGTTGATGGCGCCCTGCGCGCCGCAGTGCATCGTCGGTGGCCTGTTGCCTGCCAGTCAGCGCTCAGCGACTGCCACGAGCAGCGCCAGGCGGTCTTAGTCACTGCAGTGGAGGTGGACGCCTGCCTCAGTGTCGTAAGCGCCCAGCCTGTCAGCGGCGCCACTGGCGGCTTCGAGCCTGCGCTCAGTGGTGGCACTGCCGAGCAGGTCACCTGCCCTGCTGGCGACGTTGACCGTGGCCGAGCCACGCATGCCAAAGCATCCTGCGAGCGCCACAGTGAAGGCCTTGGGCACCAACAGCCAGCAGGCATCGCCGCATCTCGACCTGCGATCCAGTGCGGCAATTGCCTCGTCGACGGTGGCGTTGGGGACCTCCTGGGCGCAGTCGCCGCAGCTTGCCATGGCTCTGGCCCATGCCTTGATTGGCGCCAGCGCTGGGCGCTGCAGGCGGAATGGCGTCATCACGGTGAATGCCTGCAAGGGGCGCGCGCCAATGCGAGTGAGCAGCGACGCAGGATCATCCGCGGATTCGGCAGCGCTGACGCAGCCTTTGAGCTGCTCGAGGCTAGCAAGCCAAGTGGCGACGCTGCGCGGCGCGCCGCCACTTCGCCTGCGCTTCATGCAAGCAGGCAGAGCCACGATGCATCAGGCGATTGCCTCGAGCCAGGGCGACACGCCTGCAGCAAAGCGCAAGCGCAGATCCGGCAAGAGCCACGAGCAGTTGAAGCTGGACCCCAGCAGGAGGCCTCGTGCGGCAAGCCTTGGCGATGCGCCTCCAAGCGGATGGATCGACGCCCCTGGCCAGCCACGCGCCAGAGAGCTTGGGCAGGCCACAGTCGACGCGTGCAGCGACTGGGCCTTGAAAGTCGTGTCGAGCCTCGACGGCGGCCTGCTCAATGCGCAAACGGGCGGCGCGGGCAGCGCTGGCATGCGCGCTCGCAGCCGCAGGAGCAAGCCATTCAAACGACTGGGCGAGCCTTCTGTCGCCAAGCCAACCAGCATCAGGGCGCGCGCGTGGCAGCCGGTGGCATGGTGCATCGCGCGTTCGGCATCGGGCACGAAGGGCGCCAGGCAGTGCATCGCACATGCGCGCAGCGTCATCGACCAGCAGGCGGCATCCATCATCGCATGCTTCGCCGCCGAGGACCAGCAGGCAGCGCTCGAGCAGCCCGCCAATTGCCATGGGAAGCTCACGCAGAGGAGCAGCCATTCCCCCGGCAAGGTGCAGCCGCTGGCCTTCACTCCACAGGTGTCGTTCTCGCCTTTCAGAGCGGTGGATCGCATGCTCTCGGCCCACTGCGGCCCGATGTCCGGAGCAGTCTTGGCGCCGTGGATGGCGTTCGCCATGGCGTTCTCGCGCATGCCTTGCCCGTTGATCGCGCCAGAATTCGCCGGGCAGAGGTTCGCAGCCTCGAGCAAGCAGCAGGGGATGGCCTTGGCCGAGGAGGCCTGCTCTGGCCTGCGGGATGCTTCGCACTGGCACTTTGCGGGCGCGAGCGGGCATGTGGCGATGTTGGCCCGAGCTGGGTGCCTCGCGCCAGGTCGATGGCTTTTGGCGTCCGTCGATGGCGTGCACTGCCGATGCGCTGAGCCAGGCTCTGGATCAGGGCGACGCTGGCAGTCGCGTGGACAGCGTCGCCGCCAACGTGGCGCACAGGCACAATGCCTTGATGGGAGCGGCGCTGGATGCATGGCCTAGCAGGCATCGTGCCACGCCATTCGTCATGGGCAACTCCAGCACGCCCTGCAGGTGGCCAGCAAGTCGCAAGGTGCCCGTCATCAAGCCTTGCGAGGATGGCGAGATCCATGCGACCGGCAGGACGGACACGCTGGAGCAGGAGCCAATCAACAGCTACGCCGTGGACTACGCCTTTCAGTGCGCGTCGCTCGCCGACGGTGACCATGATCCAAGCCTGCTGGGGCACTTTGCTTGCATGCTGTTGTGCGGAAGCACCAGCGAAGCCGCAGACAAGCGGTTCTTCCTGCATGATGACGTCGCCGTGCACTCACCGCATTGCCCTGCTGGCATGCTCTTGGAGCACATCAGGCGCATTGGTGCTCCGCGCGTGCAGTCGCAAGGCAGGTTGTCGGCATTTGCGCCGCATGTGGCCCGCGTCAAGGCATGGTGCGCAAGGGTGGGCATCGGCGAGCATGCCCCATGCTGGAGCAACGCTGGCAAGCTGCTCGGCAGGGGCGGGAGAAGGAAAAGGGGGGAGGAGGAAGGAGGAGGAGGATCTGGATCGGGAGGCGGAGCAGGAGGGGGCATACGTGTAAAAGATGTGTTGGACGAGGAGGGCGAGGGGGGCGAGGGGAAGGATGAGCAGGACGATGGCGAACGGGCGATGGGGCAGGGCGAGCCGGTTTTGGAGGAGGCGAAGGAGGAGGGTGAGGAGGAGGGGGGGGGGGAGGAGGGGGGAGGAGGAGGCGGGAAACGAGGGGGGGGCGAAAAAGAAAGGGGGGGGAGGGGGGTCGGAGGATTGCGGGGCGAGGGGGGGAATGTAACGGATTCGGATGGCACGTGGAGGAGGAGGAGGGGGAGGAGGAGGAGGAGGAGGAGGAGGAGGAGGAGGAGGAGGAGGAGGAAGAAGACGACGACGACGACGACGACGAGGACGACGACGACGACGATGAAGAGGGGGAGGAGGAAGAAGGACGGGGAGGAGGAGGACTCGGGTAGGGTACAAGCAAGAGCAATCGCCAGGGTGTTGCAACAGAAAGAGTATCGGCGGCAACGTGAGCAAATGCCCTGAGGCCTCTTTCAAGAGACCAAGAAGCCTTCCAGCTCAGCTTCGCGGCGTCTCCCAGGGGCCTCCAGGTGTCCCTCAGGGGCTCCCAAGCTCCTGTCAGAGTCTCCGGGGGGCTTCCCAAAGGGCGCCGGAGGCTCTCCAAGGGGCCGCAGGGGCTCTCCCAGAGGTTGCGGGGCCTCTCCCAGAGGTCCTGGGCCACCCAGGCGTGGCGATACTTAGAATCAAGGCATGGGCACGGCGACTGCGAAGGCGATGTGCCATCTGGGCTAGAGATGTTGAGGTGCTTCGGAAGAGGTGTTGTCAATACCTGCTCGGGCGGGATATCTGGGTAAAGGAATATCGGGCCCCCTGGAGCGCAAAGAGAGCATCTCCCAAGAGGGGGGCGCTATCATGGTGGACGCATGCTGCATCTAGAAACATAGAGCATTTGGGTAAAATGATTGTTGTTGTTGGTTATGTTGTTGTTGATATTGTTGGTTGTCGACTGTTCGTTGTTGGTTGTTATTGTTGTTATTGATGTTACTGTTGTGATTGCGATTGTTGGCGTTGGTTTTACCGTTATTACTGTTTGGGTTGTTGTTACTGATGCTGTTTGTGATGTCGTTGCCATTGCGATTTGTATTGTTCTTGTTGTTGTTGCTGACGATGCTGTCGGTGCCGTTGATCGTGATGTTGTTGTTGTTGTTGTTGTTGTTGTTGTTGTTGTTGTTGTTGATGTGTTGGTGATGTTGTTGCTCTTGTTGTTTTTGTTGTTGCTGTTGTTGTTCTTGGCACTTTTTGGGCACTTTTTGGGCACTTCTGACTTGAACTGAGCATCCCATGAGTTGCTATCTAACACCACGTGGCTCACCACAGGTCTGGACCCATTATCCCTAGGGCTGGTTTTTCATCCTGTGCCGTTTTTTGGCAGTCATGGGGCCTGGCGAGGGCTTCCAGAGGCCGAGAACCATCCTCCGTGAATTTTCAGGGTGAGAGGATGTCAGGGTACGCAAGGATACTTTGGCACCCCCCGATCCATGGCCATCCGCACGCTGGGCTCCTGGGGCGAGGCGGGCGTCGGATACGTGAGGCAGATCGCGGACCAGCTCCGCTCGAAGCGCCCCGAGGTCCGGATCGCCGCCGCGGGGGCCCTGCGGGAGCTGGGCATGGAGGGCAAGGAGCCCAGGGGCCCCCACAGCGATGCGGTGAGCACACGCGTGTGGTTCGAGTCAGTGGGGATTCGGGGTGGCCGCACGGTTTGGGGAATCGGGCCGTTCTGCGAGGACGTTTGGGACGACTGGAGCCCCCCGGGTCCACGATGCGGTGGCGGACCGCGGGGAGAGGCCTTCGGGGTTTCCGAAGCCAGCCATCGTACGGTCTGTGAACGCACCGTTTTGGGACCCCCACAAGGAGCGCCTGCTCGCGGACCAGCTGGACACGCTGGTCGCCACCGCCAACACCGACATGAGCGCCGAGGTGTCTGCGACCACCCCTGAGATCCTGGCGTCGCAATGTTTGGGTCAACGGGCGAGGTTGCCTTGTTTCGGGCCCTTGAACCCGCACGGATCGATCCGGCTCGAAATTTTGCCGCAGGAAGATTGGGCCCAGGGCTCCGATCGAGTAGTTCAACGCTGCTGCAATTTGTTCGTGGCGTCGGACCTCATGGGCTTGCCAACCCTATCTCTGTGGGTCCCATTACGCTGGGGTATTGGACACCCCCGCTGAGGTTCGCATGACCGCAGACAGTTCCGACGGGGCTGGGGCTGGGATGTATCGTTCCAGAGCGTTCCGAAACGATCTTGGTGCGTTCCCAAGCGCTCTGGAACGGCCGCGGCGCCCAATAAGAACATCCCCCAGAGCTGCTGGCTCTCAGAGATCCCTGATTTGTCACGGTCCGATTCTGTCCTGGTCCTGGCTTCGTGTTGGAGGTGCGCCGGGAGGCGACCGAGACGTGCATGGCCCTGGGCGAGGCGGGCAGGCTCAACCATTGAGCTCGGCCCGCGGCGAGGCCGCGTCGGAGAGCAGTGGCCGCGGCCGCCGCCTCGCAGCAGGAAGAGCGCCCAAAAGGCTCGCCGCGGAAGGCGCGGTCCCCGGGCTCTGGGGAGCAGCCTCGGGTCGGGAGGCCCAGGGGGAGGGGGGGGGGGACGCCAGGGGGAGAGCGCAGCAATCGCCCCCTTACGTACCCCCCCGCCAACGTGCCGCAGCGGCCTCAGCCCCGCTCGCGCTCCTGGCCAGGAGGAGGGAGGACGAGGCGAGGAGGAGAGGGGGAGTATACCTCGGACGGAGGGGGACGGGGTTGGGAAGGAGGAGGAAGGAGGAGGAAGGAGGAGGAAGGAGGCGGAGGCGGAGGGAGGAGAGGAGGAGGAGGGATTGGGAGGGAAGGAGGGGAGGAAGAGGGAGCGGGGGGGGGGGCGAAATTTGGGACTGAGCAGGACGGGGAGCGGGGAGGGGAGGAGGATTCTTCTCAAGTTGTCGTGCTGGTTTCAGGCCAGATAGACCGAGCTGTCTAAATCCAGATTGGCCGAGGTGCATATATATATATATATATATACACATACCAGATACGCGTCGAGAAATCGTGGAAGCTCCAGCGCGAGTCCGACAGCTGAAGCCATCACGCCCTGAGCGACGGGAATGGGAAGAGGAGAAAGATGTGTTGGATGAGTTACCTCCTCCCCCCAAACCACCCCTTCGCCCGCGCGGAGACCGCCAGGCAGAGGCGGCGAAGAGGAAGATCGCTGCTGAGGCCACGGGGGCGGAGGGGCGATGAGGTGGAGCCCAAATCCTCCATCTTTGTTGTTTGCTTGCTTTTTATGTATGTGTGTCTCTGTGTGTGGGCGAGTGTTTATATTTGTTAGTGTGTGTGCGTGTGTTGTGTGTATGTGTGTGTGCGTTTGTGTATGCGTTTGTGTTTGGGCGCCCATCTGCTGGTCTTGCCCTACGCTGCGCCGCCGCGCGCGTGACCGCGACGCCAATCAGTTGTGTGTGTGCGCGTGTGTGTGTGTGTGTGTGTGTGTGTGTATGTGTGTGCGTGTGCGTGTGCGTGTGCGTGTGCGTGTGCGTGTGCGTGCGCGTGCGCGTGCGCGTGCGCGTGCGCGTGCGCGTGCGCGTGCGCGTGCGTGCGTGCGTGTGTGTGTGTGTGTGTGTGTGTGTGTGTGTGCAGGTGTGTGTGTGCGCGTTTGTGATCGTGTGTGAGTTTGTGTGTGTGCGTGTGCGTGTGTGCGCGTGTGTGTGTGTGTGTGGGTGCGTGTGCGTGTAGGTGTGGGTGGGTGTATGTCTTAGTTTGTGGCTTCGCCGCAGCGCGCCGCCCACATCTGAGGACTTCGGCCTGCTACTCGTGCCCCTACACCCAGACTGCCTAGTCTTGTCCACTGCCGCCCTCGCATTGGCTGCGCCTCCGCCCGCCTTCGTCTAGTGAGGCCTCGGCCTCTCCGCTGCCGCTACCTTGGTTTCCCTTGCTCCGCTAGGGGCCTTCCTTCGCCTCTGACTGGCCTTTGCTGGATTAGCTCCCGCATCGTACGTGTGTCCGTGTGTGTATGTGCGTGCGTGCGTGTGTGTGTGTGTGTGTGTGTTTGTGTGTGTGTGCGTGCCTCCAGCCCAATTGTCATTCATGCCAGTCTCTTGCTATCTCTCGCTCTTTCTCACGCTCCCCTCTATCGGCATTTTCTGTTTTATGCGAGGTCTCGCAAATGTGGCCAACATTGCCTAGCGCGGTCCGAATGCCACTTGTGTCCTGCCATGTGTAACCCAGCGGCACGTCGGAAAGAGCATCGTCTGCGCGCTTGTATGTATTTCGCATGGTATTGAGCCCGCCGAGCGGGAGACACGGCGAGCACCCAGAGGGACGTTGGCATGCAGATGTTACAATGATTGGGTGTTAGGGATACTGGTTCGACGAGAGTCGGTACCAATCGTTGGGGCCATGCTGGCGCCCCGTGCAGGGCTGATGTTCAAAGCGTCCGAGGCATATGTCGAGGATGTCTCGAGCGAAGCTGTCATTACTGAGACTCGGAGTCCCCTCCGAGGCGTATCCATCGAGGATGTCCCTAGCGAAACTGCCAGGTTTGAAGTTCAGAGTCCTCTCCGAAGCCGAGTTGTCGAGGATGTCCCGAGCGAAACGGCAGCGTTTGAGATTCAGAGTGCCCTCCGAAGCCGATGTGTCGAGGATGTCCCAAGCGACTCGCCAAGTTGAGGCCATCGAAGCACGTTTCAGTTGTGCGTTTTGGTTATGTGCCCCACAAGCTGTGACGCACGTGGGCCTCGCGCGGGGAGTACCTTTCACTCGTACTCTTACGCGTTCCAGGATAATGAATACAAATTCTTGACGCTTCGCGTATCCCCACCAGCCCATCCTACACCAGGCATTCGAACGAAGAGCGCCGATGATCGGCAGTTGTTCTTCTCCCCCTCTTCCTCCTTCTCCTCCGCCTTCTTCCTCCTCCTCCTCTCCTCCTCCCTCTCCTCCTCCTCTTCCTCCCCCTCCTCCTCCTCCTCCTCCTCCTCCTCCTCCTCCGCCTCTTCCTCCTCCCTGGTGGCGTCTTGACTTTAAGGGTAGCTCTTTGGGAGATGTTACAGTATCGGGAGCATAGCTCGCGCGCCGCTGCCTTGGGCTCAAGGCACGCGCGCCCTATTTGCCCGGACACCGCGAGTGTTCGCTATGTGCTGGAAAGATCATTACATCGATCTTATCCTATCTTATCCGCCCACCCCTCATACTGTACCTTCACAGCTACAGCAGAGCGATGGACGCTATTTGCCATCCGATGTCCACGGTCAGCGCCTTGGAATCGGATGCTATATGACAGGCTATATGCCCTATTTGAGTTACCAAGCTCACTTTCGACTTGGTAGCGGAGCTGGCCGCACTCTCGTGTGGTCAGCTCTTGCTCTTCTCAGCCTCGCATTCTTCGGCACGATCTTCGTGACCACCTACTACCCTGCGCCACCACTCCCAGTACATTTACGAGGATCTATTCAAGAGCAAGAAGCTACACGAGAGGTACGACGTCTAGACGACCAGATTGGTACCATATACGCTTCATCATTGCGTTACTATCAACCGCTCGGCAACGAGCCAATAACGCAATACCTGAAGCAAGGGCGGGGAAACCCGCCAGACAGAGCGCCTCGAAGACTCGACAAGGCGCTACCCCAGCGTGACACCGCTCATCATAACCATTCTTCGTTACACATTCTTGGGCTAATCGTTTTCGCTATCATATGGTTCGCGCTGGGGGCAGCAATCGCACACATGCGTCGGGGAGATAACAGCACCGATGGGCAAACACATGGCCCATACTGGGACCCTCAGGGTAATGTACCTTTTCGTGAGTACATTTACGAGGTCAACGCGTGGCTCAACGTTACAAGCGGACGTATGACGCCACAGGCCCAAGCGGCCGCAATACAACGCGGCCTGGGAGGCCTAGCGAGGACACTCGCCATGAGGGTACCGCCTGACATTATAAACTATGGTGCTGACATTGATGGGGTCCACACGGACCCAGTAACTTACATCATGTTCCTCCTCAGCATGAAGTTCGAACGCCTGGAAGATGAGCGACAGCTCACTTCCGGCACACAACTCATCGACTTCCATGTGCCTCACGGGGAACGAATCGATGTCACTCTTACCCGATTCGAAATGGCCCGACTTGAGGCACAGTCGGTGGGATTCGACCTTCCTAACTTCCAACTGCTAACTACTATCCTATTCCGCGCCTTAGGCGTCGGCAACCAGAAAGCCATGCAACTCTTGCAGCCACTCAACCACCAAATGCCTCGAACACAACAACAATATGATGAGTTGCTGGAAAGGATGCGTTCGGTAGGTCACCTATCCGAACGATCCCCTGGCAACATAGGATCCGTGTTTGGAAGAGGAAGGGGATCTGGTAGTGGAAATTTCTACACTACCTTGACTACTGAAGTCCAGCCTGGAAACGGGCCCTCAAACATATGGGCCGATGACCCAGGATAATCCACTGCTTTATTAGCAGGGGATCGATCACAACCAAGCTGGGCAACCAGCCCTCCTTCTAGAGAACCACAACCACACCGCTCGTTATGGGGGGAATCAAATCCCCTAACCGACGGTGTATCCACCTATTTAGGAGACGAAGATTTCGACTCCGGCACCGACACAGACACTATATCATCAGATGGTGTTGAAGCTCTAGATTGGTCAGATATCATGAATATGGATAACGACAATCAGCGTGCTGAGCATTTATTCTGGCTGTTACAACAGGCTAAGCGAAGGTGGAGGAGGTTCACACGAAAACCAGTGCGTCGTGTTAGAAGGAGGATACGCAGAAGTTTTAAAGGAAAGGGTAAAGGCAAGCGTGGTCGTCGGAGGTTGAACGGGCGAGGTATCGCGGCATTTCTCCAGAGGCTCTCAGATGAACAACATGATGAGATATTCTTTGGGGGAAAAGGCCGCGGTAAAGGCCGTAGAGAGACCTCAGGAAAAGGCAAAGGTAGGCGGGGAAACCCGCGAGGTAGAGACGGCCAGGTTCTCAAATGTCATGAGTGTGGTAGTACCGATCATATTGTGCGAGATTGTCCAGCGAAGGGAAATGGAAAGGGCATGTCGTCCGAAGTCCATTTCGGCTCAAGCGCACCATCCATTGAGTATCTTAGCCTCCAGGACTTTGAGGCTATGGAACAGATATTTTTCACATGGGTCGTTGGCATGGACAACATTGACGAGCTCGAGGGGTGTGGTCATGGATTATACGCGTATTACCTCGAGTACGTCCGCCGGTTCGTCACGGGCAGTAATGAACTCACTCCCGTGGAACACGGCACGCTCGGAAACGAGCCTCTTTCCTTCTTCGACTGGATGTTCGGGAACCCAGGCAACATCATGGCCTACGAGAGCGACGGCGAGGACACCACCATAGAGGCTTCGCCTTCCGAGGTTCAACAGAACCTCGAACCTCCGCCCGAAATCCCGCCTGGACACAGGCCTTTTCTGCTGGGAGAATATCCCCATACTATTGAAGACTTAATTGAAATGGAGTCTCAAGCATTTGTTCAGGCCTTCATTGCAGGTGAACCAGGTTCTCCGTTCATACCTCCTGGTTCGCTTGCTCCAGGCGAATATGGACCGCGTGCACTTTTGCAGACCCTCATGTGGATGCATGAGATACTTGCAATTGCATATCCTGAGAGTCAAGAACAAATTGAAGCTGGTATTATGACAGATAATGATAATGATGCTTGCGGTAGCTCAGAGCTACTCTTGGCAGCTTTGTCTCTCATTGACAGTATAAATCCTCAGGAAGTGCAACGACACTTGGTATACTCCCATGGTAGATGGCGTCGTGCCCTGGAAATGGCAATGGCTATGCGTGGCCATGATCTTCCCCCGCCAGGATGGAATCTCCAGGAGCTGGGGATGAGGCCAAACCACACGGCCATGCGTAACATTGCTAGGCAGCCTATGCTCGTCGATGACCCTGAGCCGACGACTGCGCCTCCTACTCCAGGACAGCCGAGCGACGCCCAGACGCCGGCCATGCAGGGAAACCTGCCTTTACCAGATGCGCCAATGGCCATCATAATTGGTAGTTCGACATCAGAAGAAGTAGAAGGCGATGGTTGTGGGTTAGATGAGGATGACGTCACCATCCTCATGATGGACGTGACTGGTGAGGAAGAGGTCGATTTCGACCCTGATGAGTCTGAACCATCATCACCATCGGCACAAGAGCCACTTGCGCCGAGCTCCACCCAGCAGGG